GCACTCTAGCCCGGGCAACACAGTTAGACTCTGTGTCAAAAAAAAAAAGAAAGTTTAGCCAGGCATAGTGGCACATGCCTGTAGTCCCTGCTACTCAGGAGGCTGAGGCAGGAGGATCGCTTGAGCCCAGGAATTTGAGGCCACAGTGAGAAAGAAAGGCCTGATGTACACAGAGGTAAGTGCTGATGGCTGAGGCAGCAGAGAGGGATAAGAATGCTTTCCAGAGGAAGTGACGTGAGTGAGTTTGACTTAACAAATCGAGTGGAAATGACTGAGTTGCATGTGCTTTTTTAACTCAACACAGGTGTCAGTTACCACGTTTATCTCTTACTTGTAGAAAAGATTGTCTGCATTTACTGGGGCTGGTTCCTCCAGCATTGCTAAGGCATCTGACATATCATCCCAAACCACCCAGAGAAGGAGCCTGCCTAAAGGTACCTTGTGTTTAATATCAAAAGTGAAGTTTATAATAGCCAATTTATGGGAGGCTTAAATTGTTGCCCACCAATCTTTGATGCTACATTCAAACAAAAATGCTATTTTCCCCCAACTGTAAAAGTAAAACACACTCCTTGTAGAAAACTTGGAGAATAAAGAAAAGCTTAAAAAAAGAAAACCATCACAATTTTTTTTTTTTTTACCTCATGTACTACTTTGGTGCCTATGTTTTTTATATATTTTTTATATTTTTATAAGTACATAAAATATTTTTAGCATAGTTGAGATCATGTTGGATACCAGTTCTTTTTCATTCCCCCTTGATAGATTTTTGAGAATTTTCCCTTGTCATGAAAAATTATTCATAAATAGATGTAATAGCTGCATAATAGTCTCTTGTACATATGTTGCTTAACCATTCCCTTATGTTGAAGGTTTATATCATTTTCCAGTTGTTGCTCTTTGTGCATGTCTTTATCTGCACTTCTGATCCTTTCCTTAGGATAGATTCATAGAAGACAGCTTCCAAATCAAAGGGTCTGAGCATGTTATCAGCTCTTAAGGCATAATGCCTTTGTTACATTAATTCAATGTCTTATATCTTTGGTACAGCTCTTGGAATTTTCATCAGGTGGACAGGGATTTTTGTGAATTATATTGACGCTTTTTAGTTAATGTTATAATTGAGCACTCGGGGCAAGACCCAAAGTGTGGTTGTTCCTATATCCCCGGGCCTGATAATCTATAAAGGCCTCCTACTTTGTGTTTTCGTTCATTTTGGCTGGTCCAGAACTTCTGTATTCCTCTAGCAGCCTTGGTCCAGCTTAAGCCTCAGCCTGCTAGTAAGAGTTTGTACCTTACCTACTCTAAATGTCCTTGGGAAGGGAGGAGCACGTATGGATCAGGACTGGGTAAGGGCTGAGGTCGGAAAGAGTTTGGGGTAAAAAGGGATAAAGGCCATTCACATGCTAGGAGGTCTCTCCTAGGACTGTTATTTAAGAGGCTTCCTTCCTCCTTAATTTGTTTCGTCTTTGGGAAACCCTCCAGTGAAGTCTGTGTGGGAGCCTAGAAAAATCCAGTTGAAGTCCAGGAAGGTGTTAAGTCATTTCCCCTTTATCTTCTTTAAGAACTAGTAGAAGTCATCTCACAGCATCGCATTGATGAGCTGCCACCACCATCTCAGGAGCTCCTTGACGAAATTGGTAAGGGATGTTCAATGCAGAACCTACTCCTTGTCCCTGCTCAGTTAAGCCACTGACCACAGTATGGTTTCTGTGTCTCAGTATGAGCACTAGTGAAAAAGGCCCTATGAAGGTCTGGTTGAATGTACAAAATTTAGGAAGGGGCAGTTTTCCAGTAAAATGGGCCACAGCCTGGCTGGGATAATTGGGGTGTGTCTGTTGTCATTTTGTTACTTAAAGGGTTTATGGTGATGATTCTAAGGGGAAATGACAACATTCGAGTGGTTTATTATGATGAACTTCTTTTATTAGAGGAATTCTTATCTCCTTTTGAAACCAAACCACTCATTCCATGGAGGCCTGAGGTCCGCTGCTCAGGCCAAGACACCTGTACTTTCAGTTTTGCCATTAGCAGGAGGTATTAAAAGTATTGGAATTGTGAATAATTCCCTTTCCTAAGAGCAGGAAAGCCAGGGACACAAAACCTCATGAGACCAGAATTTTCAGGCAGAAACTGAGCAGTACTAACGATTTCGTTTGCAGCTGATTTGCTGGCCCTGCCCAGCTGAGCTTATGCTGAAAGTAAACGGTACGTAGTTGTAGAGAGTTACAGAGCGTTATATATATGGTCTGCTTCCCCTGGAAAGACCTCACTGTTCCCTTCTTGGTGGCCTGGCCAGCTTAGCCCCTTGCCCTCAGAGGATGCCTCTCATCAGACTCCTGATAGTCCAATTCTTGTTAGGGAGCCCATAGAGAATTTCTTAAGGGGAACCACCTGGTTTTCAGGGTCTCTGAGGTTTTGTGTCTCATAAAGAAGTAAATGAGGGCTTACTTGTCTACTCAACAGACAGCTACCCTCTAGGCTCCCATCATAACCGTTAGCCCCTGCCCCTTGCCTGACAAGCTTAGGTAGAGCCAGTCAGGTTGCCATAACCTTCCTTGGTTTCTTTCTTTTTCCATAGCCAGAGGCCCTTTCATGCCTCACTGCACCCCTCCCCCAGTGCCACAGGGTTGTCCAGGTCACAGCATTGTTGAGTCAGGATCTTAGAGCCCACAGCCCCACCCCTGCTTTCCGCCTCTGAGACTCTCTAGGCAGTCCTTGCAAATTCCTCTTCTCCAGTTGCTGTTCTTAAAATAATAGAAGTGTTGACAGTGGGGGATACCTCACACACATCCAGCTTGGGTAGTTAGTTTCTTAGCATCCTTGTTCCTTGGTCCTGGTTTAAGGCAGTACTTGTAGGCTCCTTTGCAGTTTGACCACAGCCGACACTTCTCCTCTGCTGTCCTCTCTCTACAGTCAGCATGCGAACCCTCCGGCCACCTCCCCCATGTCAGCAGTTGTGTTACGAGGCTTCCTCCTGGGCGCTGGCCTCATGGCGCTGCTGTACCCCAGTGCAGCCTGCAGAAGCCTTCCCTTATTTCACTTATGGGAATTATCTGGGCCAGGTTTCTAGGTGATGCCTGCACTTTGAGATGGGTCAGTAATTTTCCAGAAAGACACAGGGCGGAGGGCACGCGAGTAATTTCTCCTGATAATGGGCCTGTCCCCCTGATTATTGTGTATCATCACTCTATTGTTGTTTCTCCTAAAGAGACCTTAGGGGAGTGACCTGAAACTGCCACCTGTTCTTTTGGAGGGCCTACATCCAAGGCTGTAGGTTCCTGATAGGGATTTAAAGGGGAGGGTCTTTAGAACCCTAAGATATAGGTGATCATTTAAAATCAGCATGGAACTACTTTTAACAAGGATAAAAATGGATTTTTTAAATTTCAAATTACGTTAAATGCTCTTATGGGGCGCCTTGACACCCAGGAGCTTCCAGGTAGGGCTGCTTCCTGCACTGCAGAAACGGAGCAGACCTGTGCCTACACAGAACAGGACCATGCCAGCCAGCTCAGGGTGGCTTGTCTATGCTGCCTCCCAGCTGTCCCTCTGCTTGGCGGAGCACTTTGAGGAGACTAAACAAATGCAAAGCAGCATACTGAGTTTAGCAGATGCTTGTCTTGGCCCAGTGAGTATTTCTTTAGGAACTGGAAATGATGGATATTCTTTGTCTTCTGTCTTTCTATAGACCAAGTAAAAAATGTGAAACAGGCTGGGAGTTGTGGCTCATGCCTGTAATCCAGCACTTTGGGAGGCCAAGATGGGAGGATTGCTTGTGGCCAGGAGTTCAAGACCAGTCTGGCCAACATAGCAAGACCCCATCTCTAAAAAAAAAAAAAAAATTAGCCAGACATGGTGACGGGCTTCTCTAGTCCCAGCTACTTGAGAGGCTGAGGCAGGAGGATCACTTGAGCCCAGCAGTTCGAGGCTGCTGTGAGCTATGATCATGCCACTGCACTCCAGCAGCCTGGGCTACATAGCAATACCTTGTCTCTTAAAAAAGAAGGAAATAAAAAAGCATAGGCCAGTAGAGATGGGAAGACATTTGAATTGTTCTGATGTTGTTATAAACTCCTTGAGAAAGTATAAAATAGAGATTAAGAGCAGAAAGCTTAGAGCTAGGCTGCCTAGATTCAAAGCCCAATTCTACCACTTATCTGTGTGACTCTAGGTAAGTTCTTTAACTTACCTTTATTTTCCTCATCTGTTAAACAGGATAACAATAATCCAATCAATTTCACCGGGTTGTTGTGAAGATTAATTGTGAACATTAATCCCGCATTAATGTACATAAATGCTTAGAAACAGGACCTGCCACATAGGGCTCTCCAAGTACTATGTATCATCATTTTTATTTCTATTTTGAGTGTTGTATGGGATTTTGCCATACTTGAAAAATTGCTTTCAAACTTGGAATACCCTAAAGCAGTGGTTCTCAAACTTTATCAGGCATCAGAATCACCTGCAGGGCTTGTTAAAACACATTGCTGGATCCCCAGAGTTTCTGATTTAGTAGGTCTGAAATGAGGCCTGAGAATTTGCATTCCTAATAAGGTCCCAGGTTATGCTAATGCTGCTGGTCTGAGGACCACCTTTTGAGAAACACTGCTCTAGAGAATGGTGGGATATGCAAAAGAGGAACTAAGTTACCTTCTGCTTTTGTATTGTGACAGAGCAATTGAAGCAGCAGCAGGCCTCATCCTCAGTGTTGCATGAGAACACAGCAGGTGATCCCGGCATCACTGCAAACGGTAAGCTAACTACACAGATCTTTTTTTATCAGGTTCTTGCTATAACACTGTCCTTGGCAGTATAGTAGTTCATATGGGCAAGTGTGACCTTGAGGTCAGGCACAACTCCACCTCAATTCTGACTCCACTGGTTACTTTTGTTTTTGTTGTTTTTGTTAGAGACAGGGTCTGTAAAGCAGGCTGAAGTGCAGTGGTGCGATGATAGCTCACTGCAACCTCAGTCTCTAGCCTCAGCCTCCCAAGTAGCTAGAACTACAGGCACATGCCACCACGCTTCTCTGATTTTCTTATTTTTTGTAGGGGTGGGGTCTCACTATGTTGCTCAGGCTGGTCTCAAACTCCTGGCCTCAAGCGATCCTTCCACCTGGGCCTCCCCAAGTGCTGGGATTATGGTCATGAGCCACCACTCCCAGCTACTTTTGTGTCGCAAACTGTTTAATGTCTCCAAGTCTCAGTAGTCCTCATCTATAATATGGGGATAATAACTCCTATTTCATGATGCGTATAATACCTCCATGTATACTGGCTGGTACATTGTAAAACACCTAGCAGATGTTAGTCCTCTGTCCTTCACAGGACTGCCAGCAGGATGAAATGAGACAGCATATGTAAAATTCTTGGCATACATTAAAGGGTACATAGCTTCCCCACCCAAATTCCTTCCCTGGGGCTCCAACCTAGAAACATCTAATAAGTGAGAACAGCATGGTCCCCCAAAGTAAGTCTGTGTAGTTTGTTTTCGGGGTTGCTTGCTTCCTGTTTTATGTGCCCTTTCTTTCCTTTGCTTCCTCTGTCTCTCTCCAGCCTTGGCACAGGCAAGGTTTCCTGTAGCTTCACCTGGCACCAAAGAGCTCCCAAGACCCCAGAAGCAGCTGCTGTGAATAAGGCACCCGCAGACTGCCACCTGGCCCCCTGCTCTCGTGGGAAGAGGGGCTCTAGTGCGCTGCACACTTCAGGGACCACTGATTAGCTTTGATTTTTGCACTCCATTTTAAGGCAGGCTTTCTCAATTTTTTTTCCTGTTCTAATAAAATTAACTCTTTCAACTGTTTTTAGATAAAAGTCACTTAGAAGAACAAGAAACTGGTGGTAATAAAGAAGATAGTAGCATACTTTGGACCAAAGAAACTGAGGATCTAGGAGAGGACACAGAGAGGTAACAGAAAAAGCGGGACTTCTGAAAGGATTTTTAAAATTGTATTTGTTTGTATTAGTTTTTTTTCTAATACTGACAAATAAGAAGGGAAAACATGTTCTTCTTTCCTGCTATCCTAATAACCCCTATTCCTAAAAGGTTTTTTTTTTTTGCTTTTTTAAAATTTTTAATTGTGATAAAACATGTATAGCATAAAATTTGCCATCTCAACTATTTTTAAGTGTATAATTCAGTAGTGTTAATAATTATATTCATACTGTTGTACAACCAATGTCCAGAATTTTTTATGTTGTAAAACTGAAATTCTATACCCATTGAACAACTCCCCATTTTCCTTTCTCCCCAGCCCCTGGCAGCCATTATTTTGCTTTCTGTTTCTATGAGTTTTAATATTCTTTTTTGTTTGTTTGTTTTTGGAGACAGAGTCTCACTCTGTTGCCTGGGCTAGAGTGCCTTGGTGTCAGCCTAGCTCACAGCAAACTCAAACTCCTGGGCTGAAGCAATCCTCCTGCGTCAGCCTCC